ACCCCAGACACCAGAGCCAGACCCTGGGAGCCCCCTCGACAACCTCCCCATCCGTTTCCCCGCCCGCCCCCCACAACCCATCACTGAATTCTTGTTTTACCTCTATAGTTCTTCACAGTGCCACCCCCTCCACTCCGTCCCTGCTCCCGCTGCCCAGTGTGGGCCTCCGCCACCTCTCCCAGATGCCCCGGCAGCCCCTCCCTAGCCAGGCCCCTGCTCTAGTCCAGCGCCCTCTGAGGAGGGGGCGAGGGGTTTCTGTTCTTGGCTCAGGGCCCCCCTTTCACCCCGGCCAGGTAGGAACCTCAGGCTACAGCCATGTGTACCCGGCCTGCCCGCTCACGGGGCACCAATGAGTTGGCCAGGATGCAGATCCCCGCCATACCAGGGCCTGCATGGGGCAGTGGCCCAGCCGGCTCAGCAGCAGCATGGCGCCTGTCTTAGCTAGGAGGTCGAAGACCCCAGCGAGGACTTGGAGCAGGAAGACGTTTCTGTCCAGGGCCTGCGGGTCCAGGGCCAGGCCATAGGAGGTGAATCCTAAGGCAAACCCAGAGGCGGGGCAGGTGGAGTCAGGCTGGGGAGCGGCTGCTCCTTGGCTTTGTTCTCAGACCCATTTCCGCCCTCCTCCTGCAGCCTCTGTGTGGCAGGGGTGTTCTCTGTGGACTACATTTCCCAGATTCCCTTGCCAATGCTGCTCTCATTAGGTCTGGCCAATGGGAGGCACTAGTGAGAGGACGGAGGTGGGACCAGAGGAGAAGCTGGGGTAATCCTCCCTCCCCTCCTTGAGTGCCCTGACTGGCAGTGGCTATGTCCCCCCACAGCTCCAGCTAACCCCGAACGGGCCCTCCCTCTGAAGTCTCCCTGGTTTCAGTCTTTGCTGGGTGACCCTGGCTCCTGGGCTCTGATAATACCCCTCCCTTCTCCCTGGTCCCTCCAAACGAGGCTGGATGTGCCTTTCTGCCGTTGAATTCTCTGACAGCCTCCTTATCCTACTGGGCTCTTCAGCTCCTCCAGCACCCTTATTATGAATCCTTATTAATCCCTTCTATTGACTGTCAGCCACCTGAGCCCACCTGGCCTGGGCTGCTCCCTCTCAGGAGCCTGACTAATAGAGGTGTCAGAGCTACATGCCTTGTTGTGCAGGCACTCCCAGGCCAGTCAGCAGAGTCAGCAGAGGCCCCCTGCTGGATGCCAGCCAGGTCCTTGCGTCTAACTTTCCTGGCTGCCAGCAGCCTGAGGGCAGGCCAGAGGCAGAGGCTGGGGCCCAGGTGGGTGGGGCTGAGGGGCATTGACCAGCACAGAATGGAGACCCAGGTCCGGAGGCCCAGTCCAGGTGTTGGAAGCAGGGTGCCCAGGCTGGCGGGAGCCTGGCTCACACTCAGCTCCTCCTGCATGGCTGAGAACAAGCCCTTGGGGGGAAGGGAGTTGCTAGGTGCTGTCAGAGCTGGGGGCTCCTCCCTAAGACCCTAATCTTCGGGGGTCAGGGCCCTTGGTCGACCTCCCAAGGGCCCTGCGTATGGTCAGGGAGAGGGTCCGGGGGTCCTCCCCTGGGAGAAGGCCCGGCCCTGCCTCACCTCAACGGTCAGTGTGTCCCCTACTGCCCTCTTCCCGTTGATGGCAGCCACCCTCCACAGCTCCCCAGGCCCCGTTCCAGCCTGCCCGTGATGAGGAGCCATCGTGCCGACTCTTTCAGCCACCTGGGGCAGGGCAGAGAGGGAGGCGAGTGGGAGGGGAGTCACTGCGTGGCCCCCGGGGTCTGGCTCCAGCGGGTGGCCCAGGGCCTGGCCCGTGCGAGCCTAACTGCTCCTCTTTCCCCTTCTGCCCACAGGCCCCAGGCTCGGGATGGCGAGGTCAGCGGGTGGGCAGTGAAGGGCACCATGACGTATGGCAGTCACACCATCTCAGCTACCCTCCTTCAGCAGGCCACCCTTCCTCCCTCCAGCCTCTCCCCCTTGGGTTGGGATTGAGGATCCTTGTTTTCCCCTTCCTGCCTCCTTCCTGACCCCATGGCCCTTCCTGGGGGGCCAGGGCTGGGTGGGCCCAGGTACAGTAAGGCCCCCAGATGGCTACAGGCGCACAGTCCTGTAAGGTCC